AGTAGTTAAAGTAATAATAATCCTGTTTTAGAAGAACCAAAGTTATCCTTTGTGTATCAAAAATATGTGCCAAATAGGAATGGCTGAGGTCTTTGATATATATTTAACCAGAACAGATGCTAAATGTAGTCCCATTGGACCTGGATTTTATGTTTATAAAGACTCTTTCCTGGCTTTCTCTAGCATTCTGAAGAGGCTTTAAAACCTGTGCTTTTTTAAAGAAAAAAAAAAAAAGGAATTAAAGCACTCAGAGGCAGGGACTTGAATGTTGCTCTGAAAGTAAGCAGGCCTTGCTTTTACCAAGAACGTGTGTTAGTTTGTGAGCTGCTCCTTCTGCTTTTAAAGGGACAGAAGCTTTCAGACCAGGCTTATGAAGTGTGTTTGGTCAGGAGGTCTGTGGGCACAGGGCATTAAAACCAACACTAGATCTAGGAAAATGATCTAGGGAAATGGGGGGTAGAGGGTCACCTTTCCCAAACTTTACATTTAAAGGTTTTAAGCTATAGAAAACACAGCGGAAAGCAATTGATTCCAAGTGGAAGAAGTTGGATTTTGCTGTCTTAGGAGAGATACTTATTTATTCACGTTTATTTTGACAGCCACTTGTGATAGTCTCATTAAAAGTGTTAGAACAGCTTTGGCCACGCTCCGTCCCTGCTTACATTTCTGTTTTGATATAGAAAATGTCACCGATGTATTTTGCAGGGGTACAGAATTCAGAGAAGGCCAACTCATAGCGAAACTCCTGTGCAGCACTTCCGTACTGAGGCGGTAAAGGAGAATTGTTGTACAGGGAAGCGTCCGATTAAGTAGAAAATGGAGTCGGTTTGCTCTTTGAAATAACAGTTGGCAAATATGTGGCAAAGTATTCCTGCTGTTTATAGCAGTTAATCAGCTATTTTGGCTGGTTTCGGGCTGTGTCAGCTAGAAAGCACTCAAAGCTTTTGCTCTGAAGTCTCCAGTGAGGTGCTGTATATTAAAGATACTCGTGAAAGGACCACATCGTGTTAACAAACCCAACTCTGTTGGTCCATGTGGCTTTCCAGCTCGGTATTTGTTTACACAACAGCAAGTTCTGTTGTGTGCTTTAGACACCAGTGTAACTAAAGAGAAGTCATATTTCAGTGTTCTTTTTCATGGAGAAGAGATAGCTATAACGGATGCGTTTTAACCAACGAACTCTGCTGCGTCTGCAGTGTTTTACTGTAATTTAGAGGTAAATACTTGAAATTACACTTGTTAATCAAGAGTTTATATAGGTATAAAGTGATCTAAGAAACAAAACCTCGGGCTTTGGGTGTTTTTGTTTTGTTGGGGCTGGGGGGTTGTGGTTTTTTTTCTTAATTATCAGTGCTGTTCCCTGACACCAAGCTGCTCTTCTTAAGCCTTAGAAAGGTAATACTTGGCAGCTCTGGCTCACCTTGCCCTGTCCACTCCTGAAGTAGCTTTAGATAATTAAATTCTCCATGCTGCAGAACAGGGCTCTGACTTAAGGTCTTAAATCTGGAGCTGAAGAGAAACATCTTTTTTGTTTGGTTTGCTGTTTTCTCCCTCTCTCCACCGAGTCTTTTTTTAGTTGCTAAGGTTGGAAGACTTTTTTTGCCCTGCTTTGGCTTTAAAAGAGAGAAAAGATGTAATATTTAGCAGTAGATAAGAAGTATTTGCAGTCACACAGTTTCCAGTATTAAAAAGCTAAAAGCTCACGTAGTCACACATTTCAGTACCTGTCCTTTTTATGAATTCCTATTTTAATAAATCAGCACAAGTTAATAGAATCAGAAGGCAAATGCATAGCTTTAAATGGTGAAACACACAACCTGCTTATAATTGTCCATTGCCTCCCATCTAATCTATTGCACTGGTCTCTGGTTTCTATGTGTCTGTGCTGCGCTCACCCCGAAAGACAGGAAAATATTTTAAACACAGGAACTGCCATGTAGAGAGGGAATGTATTTAGGTAAAGACTCCTCACGAGTGAAGTAGAGCAGCCCAAGCCAGTGTCAGACAGGTTATCCTGTGTATCGTGCAGCACCTGTGGGCTCACGAGGCTGCAGAATGGGAGCTGCACTCGCTCTCAAGTGCACTGGCTGTGCAAACCAGCATGGTGTAGAGACCAGATTTCTACTGTCTGATGCTGGAATTGTAAATTTACCTAGTTCTGGTGTGATAATTCTTTACAAAGGATACGCTTCAGTTACTATTAGCTGAATCTTAGAATACAGCATAGTTATTATTAGTGGATGGTTAATTGTTCATAAATGAAATTAATCATAGCTCCAAAGAACTACTTTTCATAGAAGCATAAGGGAAGTGAATAAGGATGTCAGGGATGTTACTTTGTTGTTAGTAGTACTTCAGCATTATTGTTGTTGTCCAAAAACCTACTAGCAGAAGACAGTGGGAGAAATAACAGGGAGAACAGTCTTCTCAAGGCATTGAAGTGGTAAAGAAAAGGTTGGTTTGCTACAGTCTCAAGTGGGCATCAAACAGCAGAGTTTATAGAAAAACAGAAAAATCTTATTACTCAGTTTCTACTTTTTTGGGGGGCAGCTTTCTATTGCATGTTTGTGCCTCAGATTAATTGTACTAGATTTAAAAGCTGCTACTCAATAGCATGAACGTGACTAAAATTAATTGTCATCCCAAAAGCCTGCAGTTTAATCAAGAAGCAGGACATGATTGGACAAAACTATAAGAAACAGATCAAAGTAGTTACTCAGAATTAAAACTAGTAGGAAAAGATGAATTTCTTCTGGATTAAAGTAGTCTGAAAGTAAAATGTGTTCTTGTAGCAGATTCTGTACGTGGCAAGAAAGGAACAGGCTATTGGTGACTTTGTGAAGCATGTTCTCATGTCTTTGCCACCGAGCTGAAGTACAGTGATTACTTGAATTCCTGACTGAAAGCTTCGAATGTATCCTCAGCTTCCTGTTTACTGGGGAATAATGCTGCTCACATGTGGCCTTCAAGAATACCAAAGAAAAGTTGGGTAAAACACACAAACTGCACAGCTAAAAAACCAGCGGGAATAAAAGAACAGACCTGAAAATTGGTGAGAATCCTGCTGCTTTCTTTAATGTTGTCATCCCGAAACTGAAGCTGTTATTCCTGAATACTGAGAAATGTTGTCAGAGGAGGGAGTTTGGCCTGTTTTCTCAGACACTGAAAGCAAAACAGAAAAAAAAACCACACGCACACAGACACAGACACACACACACACACACACACACATATATATATATACATACACATATAAGATATGTTGACTTTATTCTCGTTACATATCTCTGTTAGGACATCTTGAAATGATACAAAAGAAGATAATGGCTAACCAGATCTTTCAAATGTATTGTGGGAGTTTAATGGAGAAGCCACAAACTCTCTATCGGTTGCAGTGAGCTTGCATTGGGTGTATTTGGAAGAAGAGCTTCGTGGCTTGGTTTTTCTGTATTATTAGTCCACAGTGTTTTTGGCAAGATGGCAGCAAGCTTAATATCTTCTTCAGTACATCTGCAGTGGTTTCAGATGTATCTTCAGCACTCAAAATGAAGTTGCAGAGACGTGGTACATATGTGGCACACCTACCTTCTGCTGCCCTCCTTAGAGGACCATGGCATGGGCAGTGATTTAAACCACCCAAGCATGAACTGCTAGAGGACACCTGGGAGAGCTCTCTCCCTCCCTCTTTCCGTTTAAATCAGAAGACAGATGTTGGTGTTTACACCAGACATGTAAACTATTATGATAAAAACATTTATGTATAGCTGGGGAGCAACCATTTTAAAGCAATTGAAAAAAGAAGTTGGGGAGATGCAGAAGATCACTGAGTATGTTTCTTTTTCACAAGAACTGTGCCTCATGCCAATGAATTCAAACTCTGAGTCCCATCAGGATCTGACTGAGGCTCCATGATAAGGGCTATGCTAAAAAGAAGGAAACAAAGTGCTTACATCTGAAATCTGATGTTCCAGACCTTGCAGAGCTGGGGAGCCACGAAATAGTGAAGTCCATTCATCATTTCAAGTCTAGCTGTAATAAAATGCTTGGATGAATGGCAAGCGCCGAGTGTATTTTTGTGCCCTATTGCCTCAGTCTGCCCAGCAGGATGTAAGTAGGTGCTTATAGCTGACTGTGTGCCCAGAAACACCAGGACAGAACCGAGTGTCCTCAACAAATGTTGATCTAGATTATGGTCTTGATAATGCTTCAGAAAACCCATGTCAGTTTGTCAGATTTTTTTTCCTCGTTAAGTATAAAAAAGTAAATAACAGGAGTATATTGATTTCTACAGTCCCACTACCAAGGGCAAGTATCAATGATTAGCATCAACATAATTTGTGTGTGTGTATGTGAATGTTTGTGGGGTGGATTGAGTAAGGAGTAGAGTTTCTGTTAAAATTATTTATTGCATCAAACAAATCTCTTCCATTAGTTTTACACAAACTTGCCTATTTCTCAATTTAACATTGTAAGACTTTATCTTTGCTGCTTCACAGAGGTTGTGGAGCTGATTGTCACTTGCATTGATTAACTTTGTACCACTGCAGCAATGGAAAGCAGCCTTTTAAAGGGCACTTTAATTAAGCTGTAGTGTAAGCAAAAAGTGTAGTTTAAAACAAAGATTGTAATATTTGTCCAAGTCCAGTCGTTGTGTTCAACTTCAAATAGTTATGTGGATTGGACCAATACTAAAAATATGTGCAAAACTGTAGAGATAAATACTGCAGATTGCAGTTATGGATCTAAATTTTGAGCAGAGCTCATCATTTACTGAAGACGAAACCTCTGAGATTGGGAACTTCATGAAAATCGGGCAGCGATGATGAGCTCAAGCCGATGCTGCATGAGGGGAAGAGCCCCATTTAGGGGCTTCACCCACAGAGCAGAAGAAACAGTCAATGCGAGCAGACCTATGTGAGATGATAGCACCACAAAGAGTGGGACAGAGGGCACCTTCTGGTGTTTCTTGACTGCACTCTCCCTTCCATTTTCCCTTTCAGGTGAACGTCCCTTCCACTGCAATCAATGTGGAGCTTCTTTTACCCAGAAGGGGAACCTGCTGAGGCACATCAAGTTGCACTCTGGGGAGAAACCGTTCAAATGTCCCTTCTGCAGCTACGCCTGCCGACGGAGGGACGCCCTCACCGGACACCTCAGGACCCACTCCGGTGAGCCCGCCTCGGCTTCTTTTCCCTCTTGTTGGTTCCTTTCTCACCGCTGCTAAAGTGAAGCGGGTTGTGAAAATAACTGTGTTTCTGGTGGCTCCGGGGCTGCACCGTCCTCTTCAGACAGCACAGCTCTGAGCTTTGGAAAAGCCTTGATGCGAATCAGACAAGTTGTGGTTCAGCCACACCTCTTCTTTTGTGTAACTGAGCTTCTCTGCTGATGCTATCACATTTCCCTTTGAATGTCTCCTTGGGTGTATCCAGACTTTGCTGGCAGGTTGTTCTGACACTGTAGACCCCAAAGTGGCTGTGGAATTCCACGGATCAGAAAAATAAATTTGTGCTTTCTGAAGCCTGCTTTGCAGTTCATACCAATTTCTTCATCTATTAAATGCCATATGCTGGTGGAGCTTATACTTGCTGATCTTTCAAGATCCTTCTGATTGCATTTTTTGTTCAATTATTTCCCCTGTAAAGTTCTAATTCATAAAGGTGTGGGGGAGATCGGGCTTCCTCTGCCTGCTTGATGCAGTTTTTTTGATAGATTCAAAAGGAATAACAGTCACGTAACTATGTGTTAGTAGTCATGTTGATAGCCCTGATGATCAGGATTGGAGGTGTTTCTAATCTCTGTACGCTCCACCAAAGGGCTGTGTTCTGCCCGCTTCACTCGGTTGTGTAGATCTCCTGAGTAAGATCTTAACTTGCTGTGATTTTTATCTACTGGGACGTTCAACTTCTATGTCCAGACCATTTATAGGAAACTGTGTTTTTCACTGTTGAATGAGCAGAGATAATTGGACTGGTTAGAAGTGACAGGATTACAGATGAACTTTTTTGAGGTGTTAGCAAACGTGTGACTACTGAAACATGGTGGTAGAAGTGAGGCTGCAGACAGAAACTCTGCGTGTGAAAATGTCATCACGGAGCTTTCTGACTATTTATACACATTTATTCTAAGAGTCAGCCTCACCTCAGTGGAATTTTCTGTTTTATGAGCATTAGGGTACTGAGTTTCCATTATATTTCCAAGAATCATAAAGGATAAGCTAGTAAATTTCTCCAAGTACACAGGAGGTTGCACTGTTGCAAACATACTTCAGACAGAAAGCACGAGCATGAGTGCAAGCATGGGGCTAGGCTGAAAGAGTATTGCCTGAAAGAGAGGTGTCAGCTGGGAGGATTTGATTTGGAAGTCAGAAGGGAAAGATATCTGTGGAACAGTGTGCCTTGTGATTTTCACACATCTGACCATAACGCTAGTTTCAACTTGAAGTTTAGTAAAAAAGAGAACACAATGAAGATATCCACAATTGAATTAAGAAAGGAATCATGACGTGGAAGAACTCACATGGCAGAACATGAATATTGAGGTTGAAGATGATTTTCACAGTATGAATATAGATTGTTATTACCTAGATACAGCTACTGATAGCAGTTATTCATTCTTCCTGTGTAAAGAGGACATGGCTGATCTTTCTGCTTTTTGCATCAAGATGAAACACAATTTAAGTATGGGTCTTTCAGAAGGCGTTTAAGCAGCTGATGCATACAGGTTCCACCAGAGCTCCTTCCATAACTGACATAGCTGAGTTCAGCTGAAATCACGTTGCAGCTTTAAGGGAGTGTGATCACTGTAAGCAGTCAGCTACAACTGTTTTGAGTAGAGGCTCAAGAGAAACAGCCAAGCGCTCTCACGTTGCTCTCCAAGACAATTTCTAGCATAGCACTCACAGATGAAGAGTTAAAAAACCTGCAATATTGCCCCCAAACGTACACCCAACCTATTTGGGCATGGAAATTAATGTGTCTTTCTGTCCCAGACGTGTAGCTGGGTTGGCTTTATGCCTGCAGTTGTGAACCTTGTTCATGGAGAAGATGGATAGACATTCCCAAGGGATTTAAACTGTTTCCTATCGGTGTTCTATGCAAGTGCTTTTGTGATTTAACAAATTGCACATCAGAACCTTGTAGGTAGGCCTTGAAGACTAGAGCAAAACTGTGTGAACTTCATCAAGTTTGTACATTTTGTTATTTCTGACCAGAAAAAAAAAAAAAAAAACAGTCTATCATGTAGTTGAATTACAGACAGAAAAGACTGAAAACAATTTTGCAATACGAGACTTCAATCCAGTTTTAATCTGGTGCATTTATGCCTGAATTGAGGTGAATCTCAATGTGTTTTGGTAGTTATAAAAGGAAAGCTCTTTAGTTCAGCTCCTTAGTTAATGTAGTTTCAAATTGTATCTCCAAAGCATGGCAAGTAGTGTTATTTGGCACTACCTGAGAATCTGGCACATGATTTCACAAGTGCAAGACAAATTTCATTTTTTTATGTTAGGTATCCATTTCCTCTTTAAACAGGAGTGCTATTAATTAAGAAGAAAAAAAAAAAGAAAAAGCCACCATTTTTCTTCTCAAGAATGTATTAAGCTGCTCACTCTAAGTGGAAGGCAATATATGCAAGAAGGAAAGGAATTGAAGACATTTTTTATCTTTTTTCTCTGAGCTAGCTTGATCTGTGATTTTGAAAGCACTTTGTGTCACTACTTAATCAGTTCCACCTCCTCATCACTGCTGCCTGTTAGTCCATTTTTCCTGTTCCTAGTGCAGGGTTTTCATACAGTAGGACAGGAAAGGTGAAAAAGTAAGGAATTTTTAACATAAATTAGCAGAAGCACCTCAGAGAGGTTTGAAATGAAACTACCATTAGCTTAAAAAAAGAAAAAAAGAAAAAAAAAAAGATTTTGGTGGTGGTTTTTTTTGTTTTTGCCTTTGTTGGATTATTTGGTTTGTGCTGTTTAATATTATTTCCTTTTCTTTTTAAGTCTTTCTGAATATCATGATCTTGTACAGAGTTGTATCTTATTACGTGTTTCTAGGATGACTGGTTAGCAGAGTATTACTTCATGTCTGTAGTACTCACTGCTGTTAACCCTAAATAATTAAGGACTTATCTTGCAGTTATTTACCTGTTACTGACATATGCAGTTCTGATGAACTTTGTGTCTATATTTTCCTCCCACACACAGCTTCTTTGGTTTCAGCAACATAATGATGCCTTCAGGACAGCAGTAGGATAATGCCTGGGGAGAGATTCCTGCAGAGAATTGCACTAAGAGCTGGCTTGAGCCTGACAGTTCTTACAGGAGTTTCAGATACTGTTTGTAGGATTGGCTCTGAGGTTCCACAACAGAGGTGGTACTGGAGAGATGCCCAAGCTGGTTTTCAGGACATGAATCTGTGGGCAAGCTGTTGGGAGCTGGAGCAAAAGCTGGCAGCCCCTTCCTGCAGGGTGTGTGATCAGCTAGCAGGCGTTGGCTTTATCTTGCCTAACGTTTGCTGTTCTAAAGAGGAAGACATCCAGACAAAGCCTGATGGAAGTCAAAAAGCACCTGCTGTGTTACCCTGAGACATGCTCATATCCTCTGTCATCTCTAGAACTGCACAACTAAATGAAGACACATACAAGATAGGTGAGACAAATGCTTCTGTAGGCAACTAATAAGCAAAGTGAAACTTTTAAGGAAAAGGATGGTTCTGACAGATAGATGTGATGTTCAGTGCACCTAGGTGTGGGTCTCACTACTTCAAAAGATGTGGCGTACAGCCTGATGCTCCTTCATACTGAAAAGCCAGGCTTTGCTGAGAGGGTGTGTAAAATTATCAGTTATGTTTTGAGGTGAATTCCTTGTGTCTAAAAGAACCAAGTCAACCCTCTCCACATGACACTACTTTAAACAGAGACACTTGGATATTATGAAAAAAGCCAAGGCTGCACTGATGAGCAATCTAGAAAAGCCTATAGAAAGCAGTGGTGTGTTAGTTTTCAGAGCAGGGCTTGGGCAGGACGTAGTAGATGAGGGACAGGATCACTTGCTAAGGAGGAAACAAAAAGCAGGGTTAGGTTCTCATTAAGCGGGATTCCCTGTGGGACACCTGTTACATGATTTATGTAATTAAAAGACTGCCTGGTCATGCATACACACAGACAGGCCAAATGAAGCCTTCTCAGGCATCCTTACTTCTAGAACTTCACTATTTTCCTGTCTTCGTCTTGGCAACCTCAATCACATTCCCTTACTGTGGGAGTATGTATGTGCTATTCATATATGACAGCAGTTCTACTGTTTATTTCTTCCTAAAAACTGGGTAGTCGCATCATTATTTTTTCCTGTCACAAAAGCTTTTCCTCACAATGCATTTTAAACTTTGCTTCCAAGCCACCTCTTTACTTTCTAGAAAATTATTTTTTCCTTTTTCTGCTTTTTACAAGTATTTGTTTCTTCTTCCCTCTCTTCTTTCTGTATTGCTGCTGCACTTTGTTACTACCCAGCTCTTTAATAGCACTGAACTAATGGTATCACATTATTTGCAAAAGAAAAGCAGTGAAGCATTTGTTTTGAAAAGAAAGGCTTAGGCAAAAACTCCCAAAAGCACATCTCAGCAAAGTATGTACAGTGCACAACACGTCTCATTAGAAAGGTAAATTCCCCTTGTACGTGGAAAGGAAATTTAGTAACTCTTTCTACATTTCTGGCTTTGCAACTCTACTTTTCTTTTCCATAAGGCCTTTTTTCTTGGTTCCTTGTGTTACTGTGCAAAGCATCCTACCAGCCCCAAAAGGTGTCCTACTAGCCTGCAATTGCACAGTTCTTGTCAGCAGACCCTTTTCTTAGGAAAATGGAGCGGTGATGTTTGTGCATGCGACTGACTGCTGAGAGGCAGAAGGGACCCAATTCTTAATTCTGACAAAACACCTCTCCCAGTGCATGTCTGGGAGAGTCATCTCAGTCATCTCACCTGTGAGTGCCTCGGTCCAGCTGAAAAATTGGATGAACTGGCACACAGCTGAAAAACGCGACGCTGTGCATGAAGCACTGCCTGTCAAAAGCCAGGGAGAATTATTGGGAGAGTGGCAAAGATGATGATTAAGAATAATAACGAGTCTATGTTGTAAATTGCTTTTTTCATCTCCGAGAGACTTGTACCACTTTTAACAA